GCCTTAGCCACTTGAGCCACAGGCACCGAGCATGACAGATCATTTTAATTTAAAAGGTTATATCCTTTGATCCAGAGGTTTTTCTTTCCTGTGAATTATGTAATTGAGAATTATCTTCTGTGCATTCTTTTTTTTTTTTTTTCCTTTGGGGGCTCTTATTACTGAGATTCCTGAACTGGTCTTCCAACTTTCTTGTTTCCTTTTCTTCTTACTCTGCTTTGTAGGAAGTCTTTACCTTTCAAAAAAAAAAGTTATTGATCTTTTGCTTGCACAATCCTGATCACGTTTTTACTTTCAATGAGTCTCTCTCTCTCTCTCTCAATATTTCTTTGTTTTAGCATCTGGTTCCTGCTTCAAGGATGCAACAGTTTCTTTATCTCTCTGAGGCTGTTGACAGTAATTTTTGAATGTTTACTTTTCCTACAATCATCTTATTTTGTCCCAAATTTCTTTTACTTTGTTTCTTTGGATGTTACATTTTTTTTGCTAGAGAGTCTTCTTAGATGTCTTCTTAGATTAACTGTTCAGATTTAAGAAGAAGAGTTGAAGGGATTGGTTAAGAATGTTCCATATGGGTGTGGATCTTGCTTAACATGAGCTTTTCTATTGGCTGATGTGGCTGCATGATTTGTAAAGAACCTCTTGATATTAAGACTGTGAGATTTTTATTTCAGCCTGATCAAATTTTCCACACACAGTTCTTTCATCCTCCCATCTAGAGGAAATGACTGACTGTTTTCATCTTTGAACCTGAGAAGGGAGGGTTGTTCTATACCACTAGGAGGGTGAGATGGAAACAAAGGCTGTCACTTTTGATATAGCTGCAATCTGATCCTCTTTATCTTACTGTTCCCCCTATAACCTCAGTTTTGAGGTACCTGACTGCATTTGCCAGGATAGAATAGCTTATAAGAATGAGTAAAAAGCAAATCACAATTATTTATGACTTAAAATAACGAAGTTCTATCGAATGCCGTCCACATTTGAGTGACCCAAGCTAAGAGTGTCTTAATCTCTGTGTTTTCATATTTGCCAAAGCAGATGAAGAGGGGACTTGATAGAATATACTCCCCAAACACTGTCAGTGACACTGACTACGTCTTATTGGTTGAAGAGAGTCTTATGTTTTCTCCTTACTTCAGAGATACAGAAAGAACAATCTTAAAAGTATGCCTAGGAGGAGAAGGCTTAAATACTGGGTGAATAGCACTAATTACTCCTTATCTTGGTGCTGATAGTTCTGTGTTTTTCAGCATTTTGAAATACAGCCTGGTTTGTTCTCCAGTTTTCTCCTGCTGGCTCAGAAATTTTCTTTTTAAATCTGCTAAGCCTGTTATCACTTGTTCATTTTGATTTTGCTGTTGCCTTTCTCCTGTTCTTTAAGTTACTTGGGATTATGTATTTAAAAATTATTTTGGTTGTAGTGGAGCTTCAGAAAGAAAGAAAATTGGATACATGTATTCTTATGTGTATCAGAAAGACTTAGAATTTTCTGCAGACTGAACTTTGCAGTGTAAATGGAAATATGCTTACAGAATATGATAAGATACATTATAAAAATATTGTATTACAAATGCTTGTTGATGTGAATAATATTTTGATCTTCCCAGTTCTTTTTCCTTATGTTAGATTTTAAAAGATGCTTCTGTGTGAAAGCATAGCAACAAAGTCAGTTGTTGAGTCTTGAAGAACCAGTTTGTTCAATTTCCCAGAGATTTATTGCTTACTTAGGTGACAAATCCTTTTGCAGGTGGGAAAACTTCAAATGCTTTGCTTTTTTTTTTTGGCTTCTGAGTCTGTATGTTACCTGGCAGGCTTGATCTAGACTGGGCTTCCTCTTGCATCATTGGGTAGTCGTGGAAAGGCCAGGCAGCTGTGCTGTGGAGGTGAGGTGGAGGTGAACAGGCTCTGGCTGGGTGCTGCAGCTCCACTCCCTGTGGCCTGTTACTTACCAGTTTTAGGCTTTCCTGGCCTGGTTCTTCTGGTGGTGACCGAGCTCCAAGAGAAAATGCAAAAGCTTTTAAGTCTTAGGCTTAGATTTTTACAGTCACGTTTGCTGCATTTGTTGGCCGGCGTAAGTCACAAGGGCAGCCCAGATTCAAGGGTGGGCAGACAGACTCGCCTGCTTCACTGGGGGCCTTCCAGTTTCCGATGGCAGAGGGTATGGGTACAGGGAAGAGTGAGAACCAGGGCTGTTTTTGCAGACTGAATCTTTCAGAGTTGTCAATGGATCATGAAAAATAATTTTTGATGATAAAACATGGAAAATGTGAATATAGCTCAGGAGTTTAATGAAGTGAGGGAACTTGCCAGAACTTAACTTTTGTTCCCTTACGCATTTCCTCAGTGTTTACATGAAAGCAAACAATTTTCAATGAACGCCGAAACCTGTCATTCCGAAACAGCCCACTTAGATTAAGACATGTTTCCCAATACAATTTTAACATTTCATATATAATAATTACTTATAAAATTGGAAAGATTTATTATTTTAATGCATAAAACTCATTTCAGAAGAAAATACTTTTAAACACTTAGGGCTTTATATGTATATTGCACTAAAAATAAAAGATGAGAATGATGAAACATTAAAAATAAACTATTGGGTGGTGCCTGTGGCTCAGGGAGTAGGGCACCGGCCCCATATACTGGAGGTGGTGGGTTCAAACCCGGCCCTGGCCAAAAAAACAAAACTGTATAAATAAACTTCAAAGGTCAGCCTATATCCCATTAAAGTAAAATTATGTCTGGAGATAGTGGAAATAACAAAAGTTTAAGAAAGTTAAAAAGAAAATATGAAGTTTATAATGGTTAAAAGAAAGCTTGTTCATGTATTTTTAGTTTAGATCTTGGTGGATAGTAAATCACTTTTCCACTGGCTGTAATTTAAGAACAATGTAACCATTTTATTTTAAAATTGCATTACTTATAATATCATACCAAATATATCCTTTAGGATTATTATTATTTTTTTTTTCTGCAGTTTTTGGCCAGGGTTGGGTTTGAACCTGCCACTTCCAGTATATGGGGCTGGTGCCCTACTCCTTTGAGCCATGGGCACCGCCCCTATCCTTTAGGATTATTATACTTAGTATGAAAGGTTTTATATGTCAATGGAAAATAGGGGAGATTACATATATGTGTATATATGTAAATATATATATGTAATTACATATATGTGTAATACATGTACAGGGTCACCATGAAGTTCATATGCAATTTAAAATAATGTACAATTTAGACATGCACATGAACTCTATGGACACTCTGTATATGTCTGTATGAATTACAAGCATGTTAGGGAAACAAGGAAAATAGAATATTGTTTTAAGTTGATTGTTTTGCTCATAGGACTCCATTACCTCGGACCTCTGTTTGACCTTCATTTGGTGATTTCTAGAGCTCTCCACTCAGATATTACTCTCAAGAAAAGAAGTAATTGTGTTTTCTTTCTTCTGATATATAAATGAATACCCTGATTTGATTATATATCAAAACATCAGATGTACCCTGTAAGATATATGCAAGTATTATATCCCTTAATAATTAAAAAATTTAAACAAAAATAAAAACCATGACAAATTTTATCAGTTTCTCAGTCATGGAATTCCCCCCACCTTTGTTCCCCAGTACACATCCCCAGTGAGTATCCCTGAGACCTCTTGACTTTGTTGTACCATGAGTGCAAAATACATTGAATTTTGAAAATTTACTACAAACTAAAGACTGTAAATATAATGTAGCTTATTAGTTTTCTTTTGATATTTTTGATAGATTAGGCTTAACAATATGCATTATCAAAATTAACTTCACACATTTCTTTTTAATTTTTTAATGTGGTAACTGACGTATTACACATATAGTTTGCATCATAATTTATACTGGACAGGACAAGAGTAGCTCAAAAATCAGGAGACTGAGGGAAGCTCCCCTTCCCTCTCCCTATGTACACAAGGGTTGTCTTTTCAGGTGCAATTTCCTCTTCCCAAGAAGTCAAGAAGCATGCCATGTCCTTTTTTAGGTGATACCATCCCCCCAGTACCTTGTAGGGTTTAACAGGATCAAGCTGTCAGATCAAATAATTACTCAAGAGATGCTCAAAAAAACAATTTTTTAAAAAAGAGAAGTGATTTATTCACCTCACAGGTGTGTATTTTGCAATTTTTAGAGGAAGTTTACTGAAGATAACCAGAAAAGGAGGTTCTGAAAAAAATTGGGTATCCGAAGGCAGTTTGTTCTCTGGGGTATTTAGTGTGAAGTGGCTTATCTGCCTTTTCTCTCTTTCTTTCTC